TGTGTACACAAGAAAGCACTATGGTAGCAAAGATCCAGTTTGCTAAAGTACACTGATTTAAGTCTTTATGAGATGGTGCTATTGTTCTACTTTTAGCATATTTGTAGTGATACTGTTGGACCAAAACACTTGAGACCAAGGATTCTTTGAGCCTTAGCAAGAAAAGGACTGGGTCCTTGGACAAATTCCCCAGCCCCCAGGAATAAGGCTGATTATTGGAAGTAAGTCCACTGGACTAAGAACCATTTTTGTAAAAAAAAAAAATTTAGAGAAGGAAAACCTATAAATTGCTTATATTGAACTTACAGTGGTTACAGATAAGAGATGAGATAGATTGTATTAAGCAGGGTAAGTTTTGGGGTAGGAGGCCAATCCATAAAAAGTAGTTGTGGTTTCTGGCTCGGTTGAGGTTCACTGTCTTGAAAGTGTATACAAAAGCAGGAGGCAGTGGCTCCTATGGGATGTTCCTGTGGGATCATAGGAAGAGAATGTGGTGAGGCTGTAGATTTTGAAACCCTAACCAGCACTGAGCTTCCTGTTACATGAGAAGCAGCCCTTCTTTCCTTGTCTGAGGCGGTTTATTTGCATTTTCCTGTAAAACCTTTAGGATGTCCCCAGAATAATTGTCTTAGAGGGGCCTACTGCAAAAAAATTATCAGTGTAGATGCAGTAAGTAGGGTTGTGAAACCCAGCAAAGATGCAAGTACTTCCTCACCGACGACACAGTCAGTACTACCACAAGGTAATAACCATCTACTATTCAACAAAGCACAGCCAGGGCAGAGCGCGAACGCAGTGCCCCACTACCACAAATTCTGCAGTCGAGTTTCCCGCATGTGGGGAAATCGCAGGGGTCAGCACTCCCGCAGTGCAATGGGAGAGCCTCGCCCTGGGAAAACCACCTGCCTCTGATCCTGGTGTCTCCCCTGCCAGGTAAGTATGAGGACCAAACGCTCCACCCCAGCACAGCCTCACACGCCCCGCACTCTTCACACGCGCTCACTTTGCGCCCCTCAACCTCCCCCGCCCCGGGCCCTCTTCGCCCTCACGCACGCACAGCGCACGTATGTGCCGCCAGCGGTCCCGTGCTTTCTCCCACAGCACGGGAAAGTGGTCGTGAATCTACAGCAGGTCCCGGACCAGCAGCCCCTGCGTTGCGTTGCTCTCTCTACAGAGCCCCGCCCCGTCCGGGACGCCACCGCAGGCGCCCCGCCCACCCCGCGCCCAGCAGCAGAACCACCAGCGCGCCCTCCACGAGCTGAGTGACAGCTGTGCCCGTCCCGTCCCTCCCTCCCCCACCCATGCGGGCGCCGAGCGGAGACCCGATCCTTCCCCATGCATTACAGCTGCTTTGATAAGCCTGAGGAGCATCTACTCTTTGAACTGGAGAAAAATCAGGGGAGAGCGAGCACACCGTCCCCACTACCACACATTCTGCAGTTGAGTTTCCCCCATATGGGGAAGTCGCAGGGGTTAGCACTGCCGCAGTGAAATGGACGAGCCTCGCCCTGGGAGCACTGTTACCAGAGTTTGGCAGGGTTGTTGTCTGGGCCCAAGCAAGAAATCAGGCGTGAGACAGAGAGTAAGCGGAAAGCAAAACAGCAAGGTTTATTAGGGCAGGGCCAAAGTAAGAATGGATGGGCACCTCTCCAGACAGACCCTGAGAGAGAGTGCCCAGTCAGTCCCTCAGACTGGGGGAGAGTGAGGTTACATGGTTGAGTGGAGAGAGTACACCTGGGCAGGCCAGGTGGGTGGCTCAGCTGCCAGGCAGAGGGTTGAGGCCAGGGGCTCTGAAGGAGATGGGCCTTGCATTGCTGCCTCTGCTCTTCCTGGAACAAAGGACTTTTTGGATGTAAATGCCAAAAGTTCCTATCTGAGTTTTGCTTCTGAAGTTCTCAGAAACAGCAGGAAGCCTGGCTGCCATTGCCCTGCTTAGAGGAAGGATGGGCGGGACCCTCTGGAAGATCCCTAGGATGATTGAAGTGCACATACTGGGCTGCACCTGGAAGGTGATCAGGCAGAAGGGGCGGGAACCCCACCTGGCAGGTTACTGGGTAGAGGGAGCAGGGCAGGATGCAAATACTGGGCTGCCCCTGGCAGGTTATTGGGATGACTTTGAGATGCATATGCTGGACCTACATGTCAACTCTTTAGGCCTTTGTCACACACACATAAGCTCATATGTGACTTCCTACCTACAGAACCACCTGCATGATCATGGTGTCTCTCCTGCCAGGTAAGTATGAGTTCTGCCCCTTCTGTCCCAGCACAGCCTCACACAACTCGCTGTACACACACACAGTGAGTTCCTCCCGCTTCCTGGGCTCTCCTTGCACTGATCCTCAGATCCCAGCGAGTTTCCTGAAACAGGCTGTGATGTGACCTTTTTGTCGCCCGGGACTTGGGCGTACTTCCTTACCCGGAGCCTGAGCAGCTGACCCCGCTGGCCCCAGCTGCATGGTCGCTGTCCCCTCTGCGTTTTTCAGGCAGCGCCCTTCGCCCATCCCACTTCCTGCCCGCGTCAGCGCCTTCCTCTCCCGAGTGGAACTATGGCGGCATAGCTGCTTCAAATGGGTTGCGACCTAGGCGGCTGGGCCCACGTTCTTGGGCAATCTTCTCCTGCTATTCGCAGGCCACAAGTAGAGACCTGGATCATAAATGGACCAGAGGGCACCTAGACCAGCACCCATATGGACGCCGGCAATGCAAGCGGCCCCAAAATCGTTGTTGCTGTGTCAGCAGACATGTGTTCTCTTTGTGAGAAGACTCACTGGAAATAGTGTTTCTCGACCTGGTCTTTGGCTAGAATGTCGTATTCAGAAAAGCTCACGGGCCCAGGCTTGGCCAGTTTTGAAGAACGGAAGTTGACTTGATTGCACCAAGAAAGCCCCTGGAAGAACCCTGCCCTTGGCGCGGGTCTCACAGGTTCCCAGCCTGGTGACAGGAAGGCCCAGGACCAATACAACCATTGTGAGGACGACAGGAAGAGAGGAACTCACACAACGGGAGAGGCGTTGAAGGCCGACTTGCACAGCCAGACCTGCCTGTGTCTTCCCACCATAGAGAGGCATTTAAAGAAGACTCCTCATTAAAAGTCCCAGCAAGGCCAGCTTAGAAGGAGCTTATATAGCCAGCTGCTATCCTAGCTGCGCTCAATAACCAGACCATGCATTAAACTAGACCTAGTTGAAGTGCCAGTGAGCCATGGCCTGACCAGAGTCACTCCTTTTTGTCCTTGTCTTGGTATCCTCTGTTTTCCCTAACCAGGCACACGACTGCCATCTATTGAAAAACTGATCTTGTAAGAATGTTATCTGTAAGGCTTGGTTACATAAGGTCAGGAAATGTGTGAGATGCCCCTGAGATAAGCGGATCCTACTTCTCTAGCTTCTGTAACATCTGCTTGGCTAAAACACAAGTTCTGTAATTCATTTCCAACTAGCTGTGGTTTTTGCCTTTACAGGCTTACCCCTGAGCTCAGTCGGGGCTGCATGGTTTGGAGAACACATGCCCCATGCAGCCGCCAGCCTTCAGAAACAAAGACGCCATAATATCGCCCCTGGGACTTTGGCATCTTTTGTAACTCACTGTCCCAAACCTAAGTTTGTCACTGGGATTATCTTTATTAAAAATGGGGCCACAGTAGAGGGAAAATTTACAATTCAGGGAAAAAACTATATAGCATTTTAAATATCAGATTGTGGTTGTTAGGTCTGGAATAGCTTGGGGTGTTGGCCTTTTTGACTCCCAGAAAGGAGAGACGGAAAAACGAGATGGAAACCAACCTCAACAGACAGGTTCCTTTATTGGAAGCAGAAAGGTTGGCGACTGTTCTTGCCAAGAGACTGTGCACAGGGCGTGTTTGGGACTCAGGTTTTATCTGCTTTGTAGAGAATTTGCCACTCGGGGCAGGAGTGGAGAAGGCAGCTTGGGCAAAGCGGGTGACACTTTGAAGCCTCAGGGGACTTCCCCTGAGCATACACTGAGTGGCAACCAATACTGGTGCCACTCACCCTGGTTGGAGAATGCAGTGGTGCAGATGGGAGTGTCTCCTGTGACTGCCACCCCAACTATTCACTAGTGAGCAATGGCTTCTACCCCATGACTTTGGCTTCCACTGATGTAGAAGTCTTAGGTTGTAAGGCTGAAACCTGAGGCTGTCCAGTGGGGCTGGGGTCTGTGGGCCCCTCAGGTGTAGCTAGAACCTCCTTCACAGGCAGGCTGCCAGCTGTGGCTGGAAAGGTTGTCTCCAGACCAACCGGCATCTCCCCTACTGATAGCTGCTTGTGCTGCATGTGTGATCCTGGGGCTTTAAATCACACCTCCAGCCAGGGTGGGTGCACTCTTTCACCCAGAGGAGGCAGGGGAAGGCACTGAGCCCCTGGGGAGAGTCAGACTGGCTCTAAGGGGATCCTGGCTGTCTTGTGTGACCCTTGGCTTTTTAAATCACACCTTCAAGATAGTTACAGTCTTCCACCCAGAGCTAGCAGAGGAGGGGACTGAGCCCCTAAAGAGACTGGCTGTCTCCAGGAGACCCCCACTATCTTCATGAGCCCCAAGCCAGTCAACATACAGTATGTGAAAGCCCTGTCCCATGGGCTCCCCCAATAGGATAACCTAATGAACAGGCAGTAACGGCTTAAAACTTGGGACATGTCCTCAAAGCCAGTGCCCAGCTCAGGCACTCCGCTGCTCTCCTGCTCTCTCTGCTGAAGTAGACACTGAGACTACTGGTGTGGCCAGGTGGAGGAGCTCAGGGCAGGAATCACTGACAGGGAGAAGAAACTGGGCTGCGACCCAACAGGGGGTTCAGGAAGCATGAGAAGAGAAGCTGGAATGAACCTGAGAGTAATTATTATAGGACTTTGTGCTGGTATAGAAGTATTCCAGGCGTTTTTTTTTTTTTTTTTTTACAACTTTTGATGCACCTTAAAAAAGCTTGGAATATGTACCCTTAACTAGAAAGGAAAAAACAAAAACAAAAACCAAAAAAAAACAAACAGGGGATGGCACACACAGAGGCCCCCACTACCACAAATTCTACACTCGAGTTTCCCACACTTCAGGAAATCACAGGGACCAGCACAGCCGCAGTGCAATGCCCGAGCCTCTCCCTGGGGGACCACTTGCCTGATCATGGTGTCTCCCCTGCCAGGTCAGTATGGCCTCCAACACTTCCGCCCCAGCACAGCTGCGCACAACTCGCTGTGTACACACGCGGTGACTTCCTCTCCTCCTCAGGCTCTCCTTGTGCAGATCCGCAGATCCCAGCGAGTGTCCCGCAACAGGCCAGGAGGATTTCCACAGCGTGGGACTCGTGCGTGGTTCTGCAGCCGGTGCCGCAGCAGCAGCCCCCGCGCGGCCTCATCTGCATGGGCGCCGCCCCTCAGGGTCCTCGGGGGTCGCGCCCTTCCCTTAGCCTGCTTCTGGCCTCGGGTCATGCCTAGGGACCTTAGGTGGTTCGTGAAGTAGCACAAAGCAGCCATAGTTGTGCACCCAGCGAGAGCCTCCTGGAGACTGCCCATCAGCCACGCTTACCGCGTTTTGTCGTTTGTGTTAGCCCCACTTGGTGCTAGAAAGACGGTTTTCAGTCTAATTCCACCTCTCTGCCCCAGCAGAGAGGACCGGGCCAGTCTTACACACGGGGCGGGACACTGCCATCTCCTCACGGCCCTCTCCTCACCTCACCGGGCCTTAGTTCATTGCTGCGCCTGCTCCATTCCGAAAAGGCAGACACAAGACCGCACGAGTCTGACAAAATCCCTCGGGGAAGTTGCATCTGAGGAGCTTAGTGGGTGACTTTCAAAGGGTTGACGTTTAGTGCATAGAGGGCAACTCTGAACTTTCCACAATGCCCTACAGTCTGTTAGTAAAATGGCGCAATCTTATCTATGGTGTGATCTATAACCCGGACAGCATCCTAGGCGGTAGGGCCCGCCCCCTCGCCCCACCACCCCCGCCGCCATGGCTGCAACCAGGTGGCCACATGGCGCAACAGATGGAACAAGGACATAAAGGCTCAGCCATTCTCCCTCACTGCCCAAAAGAGAGAAACTTTGGTATGTATTTCTTGCCCTGGCACCTCCATTGGTTCTCACACCGTATTGCCTTCATATTCCACCCTGCATTCTTTTTTTAGTTTTGGTTTGGTTTTTTTTTTGTTTGTTTGTTTGTTTTGACAGGCAGAGTGGACAGTGAGAGAGAGAGAGACAGAGAGAAAGGTCTTCCTCTGCCGTTGGTTCACCCTCCGGTGGCCGCTGAAGCTGGCGCACGGCGCTGATCCAATGGCAGGAGCCAGGTACTTCTCCTGGTCTCCCATGGGGTAGAGGGCCCAAGCACTTGGGCCATCCTGCACTGCAGTCCCTGGCCAGAGCAGAGAGCTGGCCTGGAAGAGGGGCAACGGGACAGAATCCGGCGCCCCAACCGGGACTAGAACCCGGAGGATTAGCCTAGTGAGGCGCGGCGCAGGCCCCATCCTGCATTCTTTTCCCATCCTGCATTCTTTTCCAGGTTCCCAAAGCCTCGCCCAATTCCTTGAATCCCCTTTGCTTGCTGTTCACTACTCCCACCCCCAGCCCCAGTCCTCCTTCAAAAGGTCCAGCCACTAGGGATCGGGCCTTCTGCCACGTGGTCCATCCCGTATATGCAGGCAGCTGGTCGACCAACCGACCTCTGGGATTTCTTTTCTCTGAACAAATTGGGTCTGGCTGCCTCCTCTCAGTTCTGTGCCTCTTTCCCTAACATTTGGTGCCTAGTTGGCGATGCAGGGGAAGGGGGCCTCTGATGGTGTCAGAAATGAGGGTATTTGACTGATTTAGCAAGTGGGTTAAAAGTGAGGGCAGCCGTCCCTGGGTGGGCTCGAACCACCAACCTTTCGGTTAACAGCCGAACGCGCTAACCGATTGCGCCACAGAGACTCCACGTCCTGAAGCACAGGGACCGCCCCTTCGCCGGTCGCGTATCCCAGGCTGCCGCCGGCCTTGCAGAGCGATGCTGGGCGTTCAAGCTCTCGGGACTCCACCGAGAGGCGAGCGGGAGCCCTGCGGTGCGTTGGGAGGTCGGGCAGCCGCGGGGACAGCCGCACGGCCTTCACCCCACCGCCTCAGGAGTCAGTAGTCTTTCAGAAAGAAATGAGCAAAATACTTTTTTCAAACTGCTGAAAAAAATGTGCTAAAAGATGAAGCAAGGATGATTCATGTTGGTCTTTGATAAAATACAAATTTACTGTATTCAAATTATAACATCCTATCTCCTCATTGTACTAGACTCTGAGGAGAAAAACGAAACACAAAAATATCTTCAGCTTAGTGGAAATATTTAAAAGTCTCAAACTATCTTCAGCCTGTCCCTTGTGCACCAGATACAGCATTTCCTGAACTCCTGCTGTTGCAAGCCCACCTCAGTATCCAGCTCTGCATGAGATCCATTAGGTAGAGGCCTCCATCACCTAGGCTTTCTTTTGCTCTCTCAGGCTCGTGGTTTGTTTTTGTTCCCAAAGTCCCTAATGAGGGGGAGAATTGTCAGATTAGTGGAGTCATTTTGCCTGATGGCTCAGAGAGCTGGAAGTCCCTGGGAGTTTCTGCCAATCCTACAGCACCCAGGAACCCTGTGCAGAGCATTTACCTATGATTGACAGGTGCAGGTATCTGAAAGCCCAGCTAGTTGATTTTGTAGTGAATAAGGCTTGGGGAAAAGGGAACGCAGGGGCCACCTTTTAAAGATCTACATAGAAATGGATAAATCCTTGCCACAGAACGTCCAATTATGACAGAGAGTGACACATGTGAGACTGTGCAGAGGAAGACTAAAGATGTTCTGCTTGCATGGGCAAGACACCCATCATGGGAGAGACAAGGAATCAGAGAAGGGTGGGAATTAGACCAGGTGTATGCAGTAGCTTCTAATCGTGCTATCATGTTGTAATCACGTGGTGATCCTATAACCACCATGAATGGCTGGTTTCTGTTCCTAGCAATCTCAGTTTGAAGTGGCTTCAGGTGTGTTTGGAGCATTAGTAGTTTTCAAAGTACCCAGGGGCTTCTAGCCTTTGGCTAGAGATGACAAGGAATGTGAATGTGCTCAGGTCACCAGCCTAAAAGTATCCCAAGCGTGAACCTTCTTCATAGAATAGCCCTAGCTGGAGATATTGATGGAATTCTTCCTCTTTCAGTGATGATATTTGCACAGCAGGGGAAAAAAGAGAAGAGAAAAAGATAGGGCAGACTTTCTCCTAGACCTCTGTCCTCAAAATGTAGTGAGAAGCACAGAATTCTCTGCGACCTGTAGCATGGACAGTAAACTGAGTAAAAACACAGGGGCTGGTGTTGTGGGCCCACATCTCATATGAAGGCAGCTTTGTGTGTGGGCAACTGCACTTCTAGTCCAGCTACCTGCTGATATGCCTGGGAAGGCAGTGGAAGATGGCCAATTACTTGGGCCCCTGCACCCACTTGGCCAACCCAGGGGAAACTCCTGGCTCCTGGCTTCAGACTGGACCAGCTCAGGTCTTTGTGGCCATTTGGGGAGTGAGCCAGGGCATGGAACAACTCTCTCACGGTCTCTCCCTCCTCCACTCCACCCCTGTAGCTCTACCTCACAAATAAAATAAGCAAATCTTAAAAAAAAAATCAAAGAAACAAGAACCTTTGCTAGAAGCAACCAGCCCTATTATTTCAGTACAATCTCAATAGTAAGTGCTTACAGTCTTGATTTCACAACTCGAGCCTGGAGCAGGATCACAACTTGAAAATCTTTGCTGTCAGTGAGTCTTCTCATTGTAAATCTTCTTCTTGTAGGTCTTCTTCTCCCAAAGAGAACCCAACAGCAAGAAAACCAAACCTTTAGGGAATAGCTTCTGGGTTTGCATTTGCCTCCCCTGCAACAGATGGAACACATCAAAAGCAAACCCAAAATCCTTCCCTAAGAAGACTGGTTGACAGGAAACACCTAAGGAATGAGAAATGAGCATTTTTTCACTTTTCATTAAAGAATTTTTGGTTATTTCCTGAAGATATCCCTGGAATGCCCTAAGGAGAAATAACTTTGCAGAATGTTGCTTTCCCCTGGGCACAGGGCATCAGCCCAGATCTATGCCTTGCTCTTTAGTTGGCAGTTTCCCATTTTCTGCTTCTGCTCACTTCTTTCCCCCACCTGGCCTTCTATGTGTACAAGAACATTGACAAGACTCACCGGGCAAAGCGTGTTTCTGTCCCAGCCAAAGTCATGCTCACCCTGTAGAACTTGTCCAGCTTCCTCCAGGTGGAAGCCCTCCCTCCGCCTTCCCCAATAATCTGTGACATAGCAGAAAACATGTTGGTGTCCAGCACAGGCTTTTGACCTCTAGGTCATGTGGGTTTAGTCCTTAGCCCCTTGTCACCATGATCTTCTCAGTCTTGTTATTGTCCAAGGACCCTGGTGGCTCTCATACTGTAGGGCTCTCCCTGTGGCCCCACCCTCCTATGAGATGGATTTAGGAGAATTTTCCTGCAAATGTCTTCTCTTTGCTGTAACAAGTCTGTGAATGTGCATGTTTGAGATATGACTCTCATCCCGGGACCTGGCAAAGACCTTTATTTATTCTCGAGGAGCAGCCCGGAGGGTAAACTGAGGCTGAGGAGGAGCTGGTGGGGGTCTGGCTAACTCACCTGCAGCAGAAGCTGGGAGCAGGGCTGTTGGATTTTTTTTCTAAAGATGAACTTTTCCTGTCCACTGACTTGTCTTTGGCAATCCAACATAAAGCTGGACATCTCTGAAACACAGGAAGCCCCAGGCTTACCAGACCTCTAGGCTAGCAGGCTGATTCAGGGAGGCACCAGGAAGACACTTCCCCCACACCCTGGTGTGGGAAGGGCCTTGGATGAGAGAAAATGAGGCAGAGAGAAAATGAGAGGCATAGAGAGAGGACCCCTATCCAATAATTCACTCCTTAAATGTGCACAACACCTGGGGCTGGGTCAGGCCAAAACCTGGCTCAACCGAGTCTCCCCATGGATAGGAGAGGCCCACGTGCTTGTGCCCATCTCCCCTTCAGCAGATGGCAGCTGAGGTCTCTCTGGGTCCCTTTAGCTGTAGCAGGACTCCCTGGAGCCACCCAAACTCGCACAAGCTCCACACATGCCTGGAACTGCCTTCCTGGCTTTTTCCTCTCTGAGATTTCCTCCAAC